GACAGAGGAGGGGGGTGGAGGGAGAGAGAGGGAGGGAAAGGAAGGAGGGAATGGAAGAGTAGGGGGTAAGAAGGGGAAAGGGAAGGGGGGGTGATGGACAGAGGAGGGGTGGAGGAGGAAGAGAGTATGGGAAAGGAAGGAGGGAATGGAAGTAGGGGGTAAGAAGGGGGAGAGGAGGGTGGGGGTGAAGGGAGAAGAGAGGGAGGGTAGGAAAGGAGGGAGGGAAAGAGGAATGGAGAGTAGGGTTTAAGAAGGGGGAAGGAAAGGGAATGAGGGAGAAGAAGGGGGGAGGGAAGAGAGAGTAGATGGTAGGAAGGGGGAAAGGAAGGTGGATAGGGGCTAGGGAAAGAGAGAGGGAAGGAGGGAAGCGATATGGATGAGAGAAGGCAAGGGAGGATGGAAGGAGTAGGCAGAAGAGGAAGCGAAGGGGAGGGATAGGAGGAGAAGGAAATAAGCGAAAGAAGGGTAAGGAGAAAGAAAGATAGAGGGAAGGCGAAAGGTAGAGAAAGACATGAGGCTAAGGGTAAGAGAGCGGAGGAGGAGGGGGGGGGGTACGCAGACGACCGGGTGCCTGGTAGACGAAAGGACCAGAAGAGAGGGAGAGGGGGAGAGAAAAGGGGGAAAGGGGAAAGGGGAGGGGGGTTGGGGGTTCGTCAATCCGAAACACAAACAGCTGAAAGATCGCGAAAGTAAAACACGGGAGGGAAAGCAACTGAATCAAAATAAAGTAGACTGGTTGAAAAGGCAGGGGAAGAAGGGAGGGATGGGAAGGGTAAGGCCGAGAGAAGCGGGGGGAGGGGGGGGCAGTGTGTGCATAGGAGGATAGGGGAGAAGGTGGGGGAAGAGAGAGAGAGAGGAGAGAGAGGGGAGGAATGTAAAGGGTGTGTATGACCTGAGGCAAAGGAGTGGTTTCAATAAACGAGGGATGGAAAAGAGGAAGAGAGAGAAGAGGGAGGTAGGGTAAGGGATGAAAATGAGAAAATAAATCATAAGAGGGGAAAATCATATATTTTTCCCCTCGTCAATCCACGTATATAAATGGTACTGTTTTGTCTAATATAATTGTAAAAGAAATTAAGGCCAAGAGAGTTTGACGTCTGTATGGGAAGAAAAAATATCTTTAGAAAGGGGGAAAGGGAAGGGGATGAAAGGGAGGAATAGGAAGGGAAATGGAAAGGAGGAAAGGGAAGGGATGAGGAGGAGAAGAAGGCAAGGAGGAAGGGAGAGTAGAGGGTAGGAGAGGGAGAAAGGGAAGGAGATGAGTGGAGAAGAAGGCAAGGAGGGAAGGGAGAGTAGAGGGTAGGAAGGGAGAAAGGGAAGGAGATGAGGGTAAGAAGGAGAAAGGGAAGGGGATGACGGGGAGAAGAGGGAGGAGGGAAGAGAGAGTAGAGGGTAGGAGAGTAATTGATCTTTATTTATTGAACTTAGATATACATTATAAACATTTTTTTAAAAGTTCATAGCTTTCAAATTATATTAATTGTGAAATACTTCAAACACTCATTCACAAACTCATCCATCTTTTGACACAGAACATGACATAGGAATAAAGAACACGTGTATGAAAGAAAGAAAAAAAAAGGAAGAAAAGAAAAAAAAAAAAAAAAGAAAGAAAAAAGAAAGAAAGAAAGAAAAAAAACAGAAAGAAATACAGTTTGTGGGAACATCTGGAGGAGGAGGCGAGTGGAAACTGGATTAAGATATAAGAACAGACAGACAGAAACAAACACATATACAGACAGACAGAGACAGACACAGCTATACAGACAGACAAACAGAGACAGAGGCAGATATACAGACAGAAAGACAGAGACAGACACAGATATACAGATAGACAGAGACAGATATAGATATACCGACAGAAAGACAGACAGATACAGACAGACACAGATATATAGACAGATATACAGAGACAGACATATATACTGACAGACAGACAGATATACCCATAGGCAGACAGGCAGATATACCGACAGACAGACAGACATATACAGACAGACAGACAGAGAGCGAGAAGAGGAGTGGCCAGATAGACAACCGCAAAGAATACACAGACAAGACACACAGAAAAAAAAGAAAGAAGAAAAAGAAAAAGAGAAAAAAAATGGGAAGAAAAAGAGAGAGAAACAGAGACGGGGAGGAGGACGATGAAAGGGGAAAGGAGGAGGGAGGAGAAGGAGGGGGGGAGGAAGAAAGAGGAAGGAAGGTAGGAGATGGGGGGGTGGAGGGAGGGGGTGGGAGGGGGGGTTAGTGCTTGTGTAAGCGCCCCTTGTGCATTCTAAAGAGAAAACGACAAGAAGAGTGCACACAGACCCTTCTCTCCCGCTCTTGTTTGCAGTCGAAATGAGATACATAAAAGATTCAGCTTATTCTCCAAGGCCAGCATCCGCCACGCAGCATCACCATCACGCGCACCATCACTACTCGAGTCACCATCTTGTAGGAGGGAGGAATATCTGTTTTTTTTTTGTTTTTTTTTTGGGGGGGTGATTTTTTTTCTTTGTTTTGTTTTGTTTTTGTTTGTTTTGATATGAGTTGCGCGTGTTTTGCGCATCACCATCACAGATCGAGTCACCATCTTGTAGGCGGGAGGATTTTTTTCTTTCGTTTGTTTGTTTGATGCGAATTGCGTGAGTTTTGATTGTATTTGTGTTGGCGTCATTCTTGTTATTTGTATCATTCTTGTTATGGTTATTATTTAGATAATTTTCCTCAACACCATTATCATTACTATTATGGTTGTTATTATTAATATGGTCCGTATACATCACAGTTACATATATACATGTGTTATATTTTGTAGGAGCAGGAGAAGCATCGATTCCTCGCCTTGTTATACTCACGACCACAAATCTTATAGACACTAATATATAAAGCGTTTAATCTAGGGAGTCGCGCAACACTGCATTTCGACTGTTGCGCGACACTCGAGACATTCGCGAGGCTAGATACAAAGCGTTTAATCTAGGGAGTCGCGCAACATTGTATTTCGACTGTTGCGCGACACTCGAGACAGTCACGAGGCTATCCAGAGGCACATTTAGTGACACGAGGATACTCCCCCTACCTAGCAACTGTAGCTGGAAAATATATACTGCATCGTAACTCCGGGACTGTCGCGCAACTGTTGAGCAACATTCGCGAGAGAGTTGCGCAAGAGTCTAATTACCGCGCGACTGTTGTTGGCTTGACTATTTAGGTGTGAACGAAGAGCAGTAATAATGTCGATCGACTGTCGTTTTTTCAGAGACATTGGCGAGAGAGTCCGGAGACCGGTGTGTGTGTGTGTGTGTGTGTGTGTGTGTGTGTGTGTGTGTTGTGTGTGTGTGTGTGTGTGTGTGTGTGTGTGTGTGGTGAATGCGGGCCTTAAGAGGTAATTCGGCGAAAATGCGAGGTCTCCCCTTTCATTCCCCTTTCTTTCTCTCCCTCTTCGCCCCTCAGTTATTCAGAAATCAAACATTCCTCTTATCTCCCCTCCTTCCCTTTCTCTCCTTTAGAGTGAGAGGAAAAGTATTAGCACTCCCTTTTTTTCAAGGGGAGCATATCTGCCTGTCTGCTGTCTGTCTCAATCATTTGCCTCATCCTCTCTCCTCTCTCTCTCTCNAGTAGTAGTAGTAGTAGTAGTAGTATGCAGTATGTATCAGTATCAGTAGTAGTAGTAGTATAGTAGTAGTAGTAGTATCAGTAGTAGTAGTAGTATCAGTAGTATATAGTATCAGTAGTAGTAGTAGTAGTTAGTAGTATAGTAGTAGTAGTAAGTAGTAGTAGTAGTATCAGAGTAGTAGTAGTAGTAGTAGTAGTATCAGTATCAGTAGTAGTAGTATCAGTATCAGTATCAGTAGTAGTAGTATCAGTATAGTAGTATAGTATCAGATCAGTAGTAGTAGAGTAATAGTATAGTAGTAGTAAGTAGTAGTAGTAGTAGTAGTATCAGTAGTAGTAGTATCAAGTAGTAGTAGTATCAGTAGTAGTAGTATTCAGTAGTAGTAGTATCAGTAGTAGTAGTATCAGTAGTAGTAGTATCAGTAGTAGTAGTATCAGTAGTAGTAGTAGTAGTATAGTATATAGTAAGTATCAGTAGTAGTAGTATCAGTAGTAGTAGTATCAGTAGTAGTATATCAGTAGTAGTAGTATCAGTAGTAGTAGTATCAGTAGTAGTAGTATCAGTAGTAGTAGTAGTAGTATCAGTAGTATCAGTAGTATCAGTAGTAGTAGTAGTAGTAGTAGTAGTAGTAGTATAGTAGTAGTAGTAGTATAGTAGTATCAGTAGTATCAGTAGTTCAGTAGTTCAGTAGTAGTAGTAGTAGTAGTAGTAGTAGTAGTAGTAGTAGTAGTAGTAGTAGTAGTAGTAGTAGTAAGTAGTAGTAGTAGTTAGTAGTAGTAGTAGTAGTAGTAGTAGTAGTAGTAGTAAGTAGTAGTAGTAGTAGTAGTAGTTAGTAGTAGTAGTAGTGTAGTAGTAGTAGTAGTAGTAGTGGTGGTGGTGGTGGTGGTGGTGTCGGTGATAATACTTTTATTGTGATAACAGTATCAGTAATAATTATAGTAATATAGTAATAGTGATAAAATTAGTACTAATATTAGCATTAATAATGTCAGCAGCAGCTTTAATAGTAGAAGTAATGGCAAAGCCGTAACAGCAGCAGTAAGCAGTAGCAATGATAATAAAATAAAAATGGGATAAGACTTAAAACTAACAGTAGGTCATTATTTACTTGCACATTCAGGGGATCCTAATATTCCCTTGGAATGAAATAAAAAGCATCTCATTCCTTCTCAAGATAAAAACACTGAATCTGTGCACAAGTAAAATGTGTCCAGTGCTAGGAATAAGTTGCTTGAGAGATTCAATATAATGCTGAATGCAATATACACAGAAAGGAGTTCAATAATACCACCAAGACTGCGGAGTCTTTTATATCACCTGTGTCACTCCCTGCTGTTGAGGTTCGACTGCTTGGAACCGATTGTGCTGAAAGCAAAGGCCAAATCTGATGTTCTCCTTATTCTGCTCCTGGGAGGTGTCGTTCTAATTCAATAACTGCTAAGTTTAACATGCCAAATCCAGATCTAATGAAATTTAGTAACAATAATTCAATTCACCATCACTTATCAGAAATAGCCAACTCTACACCATACAGACAAAAAACCTTTGAAAAAAATGCTATCAGCCTCCTTTTCTCTATGCTATTTCAGATCCACAAGTTACTTACTTTGTACTCCTTATTATATCCTTCTTAACACATTCTGGACATTCCCAGCTGTTGGGTAGATCTCGTTGACATACATCCGCATCCTCATACTTTGGAATAGAAAAATATATATCAATCAGGAGAAAGTTATTCCAAATAACACACAAAAAATCTGCTCATAATTGGAAAACCCTCAGACAGCACATTCCTTTTAACATGCCTATTTCTCAACAAACCCAGAATCTTCTGCAAGTACTAAGAGCAAAATATGTACCTACCTAAATTTTGCTTATGTATCAAAACCTTAAAACTATTACATTCTCTTCATCTGCTCTCAGACAACCCATAACTTCAATCATATTTGAATAATTCTTCAATGTTTGGCAAATCATGCTCCTTATTTACCTACACCCCCCAAAATCTCTTGAAATATTCTCTTAGAATCCATTTAATTTTCACATATGCCATTCAATACACATCCATACTTTAGGCTACAAAAAAATCTAACTAATTCTCAACCCTTGGATCCAAGTGTACCACTGCCTGCGCGTGGACCAAAACGTGGATATTAGGCTTATGAGAGTGGACACGGTGACAAGACTCCATGTCTCCCCTTTGTAATGTTATTTTCCCTTTTTCTGCACAAGCGTTTTTAACCTTTTAACCATTTTTCAGAGACCCTTTTCATAATTTGGTTTGCTTTATCCTGATAGTAATAGACTGTTTTCCTTACACAGATTCCATATCTCTCTAGGTAGTCCAAAACTCATTGCAATTTTGATAAAAATAAGTAAAAAAAATTATTTGTGCAATTTTAAAACTTTTCTGTAACATTCAATTTTGAATTATAACATGTGCCACTGGTCATGACGGGCAGGAATAAGATCCTAAGCATGAAAATGGTATTACTCCCCGGAGCCAGCACCCTTCCAAATGGTACATTCCACAACTGTTCTTGAATGGAAATTATGCAAAATCCCTTTCCAAAATGCCCATTGAGTCTAATCACTCTCCATGAGCTTTGTGCACTTGTGGCAAGTCATTCTCATCATATTGGCCTTCAGCTGAAATTATCATGATGGCAAGTTCCCATTAACCCAGGCCCTCAGCCCAAACTTCCTGACAGCATGTTCACATCACCAACCCCTCAAGCCAAATTTTGTGTGTAAATCTATATACATATATAAATATATATATATGTGTTTGTGTGTGTGTGTGTGTGTGTGTGTGTGTGTGTGTGTGTGTGTGTGTGGTGTGTGTGGTGTGTGTGTGTGTGTGTGTGTGTGTGTGTTTTTTTACTGCATTAGCACTCTAAGCAGTAACCGGGGGAAATCTAATGTCTTGTTTCTTACTAATTTGACACACAATCTATCAACAATCAAAATCAGAAAATATTTTCTCATACATTTCATTATACAATTTTACACTTGCCTGATTTAGTACTTTTATATTCTACCAAAGTCTACATTTTTTTTTTTTATCTTTTTTAAACTGTGAAACTATTCAGCCATATTTGTTCTCTAATATTAAAACTAGCCACCACAAGGTTTTTGGCATAAGAAAAGAGTAACTTAAGTCATTTTGTGCCATAAAATAAATGTTCACTCTAACAGGGTTCAGAAAGCATTTCTCCCACACATTTCAAGGTCAACATACCACAAGGCTGCAATAAATCTGTTTTTGCTCAGAAGCTTTCATACATTGCCCTTGTAGTTTTAAAAGTGTCTAGATGCTGTTAATGCTGACAATGTCAATCATATATTCTAACATATCAACTCAAGGTACCCCAGTAGATCATAAGAGTTGCAACAGGAACAACGAGGGGAAGGGCAAGAAAACACACAAATATGCTGGAGGCCTTTTCGTTAATGCTTCGTCACGTGTGTTTATCATGAGTTAGCAAGATGCTTACACATGCAGTTTCTTGCCAATAATTGCTCATTGAGATACACCACTTGTACACATTGTGGATTTTGCCATGAGGGTGACTAGGATGGTGCATTCTTGATTTGCATTTTTTTTTTCTTTTTTAAGATACACCACTTTATCTTTTAAACTACAGAAATTTCTGCAACCCATCAGACTAGAAACTTTCAATATGAACTTTAGTATCAAATAAAACTTGCAGTGAGTGAGTAGAATACTTACCTTATTTGACAAACACTTTAGATGTGAAATCTTGTAGCAGATGCAGCACTCGAACAAGCCACTTGGCACATTTGGAGGAGGTTTATGAGGTGGGGTTGCTATCATTCGTCCCCATCCATCAAGCTGACACTCATAACAAACAGCAGTCACTGGGAGCATCGGCTGGTGGTATAAAATTCTTTGTTACCAGATCCAACGTAGAAGTTTCTAAAGTTCTTTAGAACATAGTCTGTAATAATGTATGTAACATATACTACCAATATAAAGTAACTTACCTGGGTACATTTCTTCATTTTGCAGGTTTGCTTCATGGTACCTGGCCCACCATATTTGACCATGTCCATGCAAAAACCACACTGTCTACAATCATCTCTTAGACATGACTCGCAATATTTACCTGAAAGAAAAGAATATATCTTGAAAAATATTCTACAGAGCCCAAGTAAACGATATTATAGAGGATCCTTTCCTTACAAAGACATCAAATAAGGACATATTCATTACACAAAACAAGTCGATGGTAGATCTATAGTAAACCCAGCAATAACAGTTTCGGCAGGTGAGTCCTCAGAAAATTGAAGTTCAATTCTCATAAGAAAATCCAAAGTACCAGATTGGGCAATATACACTAGAAAACTGCCGTATCACTTGAACGCTAGGCCAGATCAAAGATTTGAACTGGCTTTGCTAGAGCACTTACATATAAACTCTATTATACATAAAGACAAAAATCAGACAAGAGTATATAATACATCAATCATGCCATATATAACCTGATACCAGCTCAACTTGAACAATCAATAAAAGGGAAATATTACACGAGTGCCATTTATCATGTGTGCTCCAACATCCTTATTAACAAACATGTGGGCATCTTCTCAAGTCAATTCTTTTGGGCTCTTGACTTACTTACAGAGCAACGAAAAAGGTAATTCCAATGATAACTCCCTTTAGGAACAGGATTGCAGGGTGAAATAAAAAATGCATATGGAACATTACATTCAGAGATGCAAGCAGAGGATTGTAAGAGGCAATCCATAGACACTATATGTAAACTTTTTTTTGCTTTCTTTCTTTCTTTTTCTACTAAAATTACAGTCAACAGGGAATATATGCAGACACTCCAGCTATCAACAGGTTAAAATATTCTCTTTTTATGACAATTATCATTGTTCTTCAAAAGTACCTTTATTTCATAAATTCACTGACTGATTTCTGATATTTTAAAATCTTTTCTGTGCCTCCACTTCTATTTGGCACTGAGTGCTTTAATCATGCACATCTTACTTTACAGAATTCAATGCATACTCTTCATTAATTTTTAATCTTTAACACAACACTGCCCAACTCAACTCTACTGTTTTATATTAAAATGCAGATACAGTACACTTTATAAATAGTTTAAGACCACTAAAACCTACATCTCACTCTTCTGTGTCTAATTTTGGCAGCATTGGGAGGTAGTCTGACCACTTTGTTCTCATCGGAATTTCTTCGTCTCCTCTTGGTTGCACCTGCTGTTGGATCACCAAGTGGTCGTTTCACACCAAACTTTGTTGATTCCTGAATGAAGGGGGGAAAAAAATATATTTTCAAATATGCATTATTTAACTAAACCCACACATGAGCATGTGTGTTTGAGTGTGCATGCGTTTGTTTTCATGTGTTAGTGCATGCGTGTGTGTATACAGGCTTTTTTTTGAGATTGTAACAATATTTTTCTCTTCTTCTTCTTCTTTTTTTTTTTTTTTTTGCTTAAACTTCAACAAGGCTCCTGCCACACACTTACCCGGGGCCACCACTCCAACACTGGCCGACTTGTTGTGGACAGTTCTGGGCTGTCATATCGGTGCTTTTCAACAACTGTGCGCACATCTCGAATTAAAGCTATGGGGTCTGTGATGAGCTCTGGCACGCACTTCTTGCTAGTGGGCAGAGCATGGAGGTACATAACAATTGCTTTGAGGCCGTGCAATTCATACTGAGTAAGATGGATGTGCTCCTCAGGCCCATCCTCTCCTCCATCACTTTCTTCATCCTCCTGTTGCAATAGATGTACATATTGTCACTTTTGTAATTGAATTATAAACTTGTGATGTCAGGTACAAATTATGTCCATTTTTTTCCCCATCTGTCCCCCCCCCCAAATACAAAAAGAAAACTTACCCCTTTAACTTTATTATTATTATTATTCTTTTTCTTGGAAGCCAAATATCTCTCATATTTCTGCTGCTCATCAGGAGGAAGGGTGAGGTGTGTGCGGCCAAGCAAAACATGGACATAGCGCTCTAGGACATACCAAAGCATTTCCGTAAAGAAAGGATATCTGAACTTCTGAGGTACCTGCAAGAGGAGATATTGCCTTGGTAAACTGTATTTCGGATGCACATTCTGAAATGTAAATCACTTATAATTAAGTAACATTTGGACTGAAATGACTAGTTAAAACATGACTTACATGTGTAGCGTCTTCAACCTGAGCAACACGCAGCTGTTTCTCTATGCCGAAACTGTGTAAAAAGTTCCCTCCAAAAACTAAGGAATCCTCTGGGGTATATACTGCATGAATCCAACCTGCATATACAGAGAAGGGATGAAAAATGATTGAAGTTGATTGGTCTAACAAACCAAATTGCAGAATATTCAACATGTACAACCATGAA